GGTCCCGGTCAGGGAGGGCCTGGGCGAGCTGCTGGGAAGCCTGGGAGAGTGAAGCCTGCTCGCCCCCAGGGCAGGAGGGCCCAGTGACTCTAGCCGTGCTTTCCTCACTGTCGCCCTGGAGGGTGGTCCCGCTGTGACTCATTTCATAGGTGATACCAGGAGGCTGTTGGCTGGAGGTGGGGCTGGGATTTGAACCCAGAGAGCGCGTCCTGCGCTGTCACGGCTGTTGGCGGGGCCAGCTCCGCTTCTGCGCTCTACAGAGCCGGCGGCTTTCTTGTCCTGGGATGGCTGTGAGGGCGGGAGGCGCATCCTGGCCTGGCCCAAGAGGCTCGGTGCTCAGACGGTGCAGTGACTCCCCCGAGAGGCAGAGCAGGGCTGGGGCTGGGCCCGCTGAGCAGTCCAAGGGCCCGGCCTCGGCACACGGGCGCTGGAGCCGTGGCCGAAACCTGGCCTCCAGGGCTGAAGCGGGAGGCCCTGTTGAGATGCCGACCACGGACCCTCTGTTCCAGAGAAATTCTCGTCGGCGCTGCAGCCGGGGGCCCTGTTAGACCTGCTGCAGATCGAGGGCATGAAGATAGAAGAAGAGTCTGAGGTGAGGTGGTCTGGCACCCCCTCCTTGAGCCCTTGTCGTGAGCGCCGGTGTCTGGAGGGGGCGAGGGCGCCTGAGTAGGTGGCAAAGATGAACGGAGGCCCTTTGGGACGTAGAGAGCAGGGCTCCCTGGCTGAAGCAGAAATGGATGAGCGACGGCAAGGTCATGGGCAGCTGGCAGACCAGGACGGACGGAGGGCAGAGTAGCAGGAGCCCCAAGGACTGGGGCGTGCCCCCCCGCCCCCCACCTGGGCCTGCCTGGCCTCTCTCCTGCTCCCCTCTGAGCATTCTCATCTCCGGGGGCCGCCTCTCTGCATGTCTCCGTGCGCTGGGAGGAAGCTGTCAGGTCCTGCCAGCTCTGGGCCACTGCACTAGACCCAGTAGCCAGTGTTCACCACTCACTCGGCACATCCATGCAGTAGCCACTGGGCCCCGCACAGGGCCAGCGGCCGGGCCGTGGGACCTTGACCGGCAGCCCCTGCCCCGCAGGAGCTGACATTCAGTGGGAGGCAGAATGAGCACATGAGGGCATATCAGCAGGGATGCACCGGGGGAGGTGGGGAACTCGGGGGGCGGGGGGGGGGGGGGCGGGGGCGAGGTGGGAGGGCCGCAGCTCATCTTTGACCCAGGGCGGGGGGTGGGGCATGGGCGGCTTTGGTCCCAGCAGCCCTAGTGGTCACCGACCTTCTGTGCTCCAGGCCATGGCTGAGAAGTTCCTGGAGGGCGAGGTGCCCTTGGAGACGTTCCTGGAGGACTTCTCGGCCATGAGGAGGCTGTCGCACCTGCGCCGCGTTCGCGTGGAGAAGCTCCAGGACGTGATGAGGAAGCCCAGAGCTTCCCAGGAGCCCGCGGGCGCCGGCACCCCTCCTCTCCGCCCACCCCCCCCATCTCGCCCGGTCCCCGAGGCCACCCCCCCTACAGCCGAGGAGCAGCCACCCCCACCAGCTTCAGGGGTGCCTCCCTACCCTCTGCCCTACAGCCCGTCTCCCGGCTTGCCCATGGGCCCCACCGCCCAGGGCGCGCTGCCGCCGGCGCCCTTCCCCGTGATGTCCCAGCCCTCCTTCTCCTACAGCGGGCCTTTGGGCCCCCCTTTCCCGTCAGCCCAGCCGGGGCCCAGGGCCGCTGGGGGCTACTCTTGGTCCCCACAGCGGAGCACGCCGCCCCGGCCTGGCTATCCTGTGCCCACCTCTGGTGCCTCTGGCCCCGGGTACCCCTTGTCGGGGGGCCGGGCTCGCAGTCCTGGCTACCCTCAACAGCCCTCCTACCCTGCGGCGGGAGGAAAACCTCCTTACCCGACGCAGCCCCAGTTCCCCAGCTTCCCGGGCCAGCCCCAGCCCACAGGCCCCCCTCAGCCTCCCTACCCCCGCGGGCCGGCCCCTCCCTATGGGTTCCCGCCGCCTCAGGGTCCTGCCTGGCCTGGGTATTAGGGCCCTGGCCTCGGCCCTCCCCTCCTTCCGCCTGAACCGAACCGTTGGCCCTGCTGAGATTCGAGGTTAGATTGGAAGTGGAGTTGGCTCACCCCGTGGACTTGGGGGCCTGCAGGCCCCGGAGAGGCACGGGCGGTCACAGCGCTGCCAGGTCGGGGGTCCACACCTCCCGTGGCGTCTGCAGGAGCCGCTGTGCGCCCTCGACGGCTGCTGTGTCTGCCTCGCACTCTGAACAGTGCGCCGGCTCTGGGGGCAGCTGGTCTCGGCCCCTGCTCACCCTGCCCCGGGTTGGCATAGTCCACGTGGTGCCCGCACCCAGGGCTGTAGCTCTGTGTCTCTCTGGTCCATTCGAGGGTGGCCCGCCCCTCACACAGGGTCAGGGTTGGGTCGCGGGGAGAACAGTTAGGAAACACCCTTCATGATTTTAAGTCAAAAAGCCATAACTGGGCTCTGACGGGCTGGTGTCGGATAAGCTCGTGCTGTGTGCGGTCTGAGGGACAGCAGCCAAGCAGCGCGTGGGAAGACGGGGTCGTGAGGGTGGGCCAGACCTCGCCTGCGCTGGTCAGGGATCCTGGGGGTACCTCGGGCCCTCTGGCTGGACAGGAGGGAGCAGCTCTGGCCCAGGAGGTCATGGCCCCGTGGGGGCTCGGTTAGGAGTGGGGCCAGGTGCCTCCCTAGCCACCCTCTCCTGGTGGACCTTGCCCAAGGCCCGCCCAGCTGTCCACCCCTCAGTGCCTTGAGTCTCCTTCGAACCACCCCGCCCTCAGCCCCTCCTGGCTCCCCAATGGAATTCCCCACCCCGCACCCTCCGAGAGACATCAAAAGACGCCTGACCGTGCCTCCCCGTGGTGCTAGGACACCTTGCACGTAGGAGTCTCTCATCCTCAGACTGTAAAGGGCAAGGACCTGCCTCCGCGCCAGCGCAGCACAGCACAGCACCTGGAGGGCAGCACGTTCAGCCATGAAAACGACAGACCGCGGGGTGTGGGCACACAGCACGGGCTGGGGGGTGGGAGTGAGCCAGGTCTCGAGGCAGAGCCTGGAGCTGCTACGGGGGCGGGGGGGTCCTATGTGCCTTGAAACATCCACGTCACGGCACCCGGCGGCTGGGGCCCGCGGGAGACGACCTGGTGCCTGGCGCCTGGTGCGGCAGTGGGTGCACGTGCAGCAGCAGGTGCGCGGCAAGAGGCTCGCTTCGCGACGGGGGCCCTTGCCCATCATGCGTGGTTCTCATAAGCTATTTATAAAGTGGAATCACTAACGGGCTCTGCGGGGCCCAATGCGTTGGAACTGGACAGCGATCGCTTGTATGTTGTATAAATAATTGCCAATAAACCGAGGAGCTCTGCCGCCTAGTGGTTCCCTGGGGGTGAGAAGTGCAGAGGGCCGGGGGGCGGGGGCACGATTTCTCTGCCACCTGAGGCCTCCCTGCCTCATGTGCCTCATCGTTCCGGCTCCTCCTGCCGCTGCCCTCCCTGCTCCACCTGGGCCTGGCTCTGAGCACCCCGCCCCAGCCTGCAGCTGCCTGGTCCTCGGATGATAGCTGGGATGTGCGAGGCCTCCCCTGCTGGGCTGGCGGCACCTGCTGGTGGCCTGTCCAGGAGCCCCCTGGGTCTCTCTTCCGTCCAGTTTCTCGCTGGGATGGAGGGGCCTCGGGCTGAGGAGGCGGGTGGTCCCTGCCATGCCCCCCCCCCAAGCGCCCCTGAGTTCAGCCAGTTACCACGAGGCCTTTCCATGGGAAGGGTGGCTTCCGGGGGCTCCCCTTCTTCCCTGCAAGGTGGCGGGGGCGGGCAGGCTGCTGTGGCCTCCCGGATGCGCAGTCACCTCTGCTGAAAGCAGGGCTGTGTGGCTGCGTGAAGTCTCAGTGTGCCTGTCTCGGGTCCTCTCAGCAGCCCTATGACCCCCCCCCCCCCATTTTAAACAAGGGCAGTGGTTCAGTGATGTGGGCGCACAGTCTGGGGGTGCGGGCGGGACTGGCACCAGCTCTGGCCAGCCGCAGGGGCCCCTGCCATGCCCTGTGGTACCACAGCCCCAGGGGTCCGAGCCCACGGTGGAGACCCCCTGGGCCCCAGCAGATGTCCCCGCCTTTGCTTCCTGGACTGCGGCCTGGCCTTGCAAATGCCCGGGCAGAGCACCAGGACACCAGGGGGACCAGGACAGCCCGGCCTTGTGGGAGAGCTGGACACCTCGAGGGGCACCCTCGGGTCACTTGCTCTGGGTGGGTCCGGGGCGGGGCGGGGCGCAGAGGAGAAGCGCCGCTTTCTGAGACGGGACTTGGGCCGGAGCTGCTGCCCCTGGTCACGCGGCGAGTGGCTCCGCTCTGCCCTCGCTCTCCTCCCGGGGCCTAGCTCTCTGCAGGCCCTCCCCACCCGCACACACCACGGGGACCACGGTGTCCTCCGCCAGATCCCCCGGGGCCTCCTCTGGCCTCTGGCCTCTGGCCTCTGGCCGTGGAGTGGGCTGCCGGGAGGGACCCTAAGTGTCAAGTTCAGAGCCTCGGAGGGGCTCCCAGCTGAGTGAGCAAGGACACGGCCGAGCGAGCTGGTGCGGGGCCACCGGGTGCCGTGGCTGTGGGGTCCCTCCCAGCCGCCACGCCCAGCCCCGAGGCCCGACCGCGTGAAGCCAGACTTGCTGGGGACTCAGGGCTGTCCTTCCGGGTCCTCGGTTTCCCTGACTCACACGAGGAGAAAGTGCTAGAATCCGGTGCACGCGCGCCTGCCTCTGGGGTCAGGTGGAAGCGCAGTTTAGGGGATACGGGGCGCGCTGCCCCTCTGGCTGAGGCGCCCTGCTCTGTCGGGCAGTGGCTGCGAGGCAGGAGTGGACTCAGAGGCACCAGGTCACCTGCCGAGGCTGCCGGCATCCTTTAGGGCCGAGGAGCCGCTGGGAGCGCTCCCTGGCGATTGGCATCCTCCTGACCCAGGCTGGGGGCTGTGGGCTGGAGGTTGGGGGTTGGGGGTGGGGGGTGGGGGCTGGGGGCTGCCGCCTGGTCCTGCTACTCTGTCTGGGTCGGGGGGATCTCTGACCACGAGGGCTGCTCGCCCCGCGGGTGTCCCCGCCCTGGGGCATCCCGGGGGGACAGAGAGAACTCTGGACCGAGGAGCCGGGCGCTCAATCCTCAGGAAGCAGGAAAGCCGTTATTTACAAAGAACATATTAAATACACTGGAGACCTCGGCTCCCACCCCTGCCCCGTGTGCGCTTCTGTCAGTCCTCCCTGGGCCCCCGTGTGAGGAGAGAGCTCCCCACAGACGAGGTGGGGTTCCCACACCCGCCCCCGTCTCTGCTTGGAGGGGCTGCTTGTCTGCGGGCAGCCAGCTGTTCTGCGGGCTTCGCTGCGGCTCCTGCGGGAGGGCAGGGCTGGGTGTGGGGAGGCCCTTGCCCTCGGCTGTGTTTCCAAGCGGCAGATGCGGCGCTCTCAGGACCCGGCTGGCTCCCGTTCGCTCCGGGTCCCTGGTCTGTGGGTGAGAAGGACGGTCAGAGGCGGGACCCCCCCCTGGAGATGGCTCAGCATCAGGGTCCGGGCGGCCCCCTGTCAGGCAGCCCTGGAGGGCTAAGCCCATCAGGCAGCCCCCAAGGCTCGTCCGGGGGCTCCCGGACGGAGGGAGGGAGGGCGGGCGGGCGATTCACCGCTCTGACCGCGGATCAGCTCCCGCACACCCTCGATGCTCATTCTTTCCCTTGAGGCGAGTCAAGGCCGTGGCGCGCCCCGCAATGGGCGGGCAGGAGGCAGGAGCCGGCGCTCTGCTTATCCCAGGGTGGGGGCTCCCGGGTGCGGCGGCCTCACCTGTCACAGCCGCTGAGCCCCGTGCAGGTCGTAGTCGCTGTCGGAGGAGTTATCGGGCTGGGCGGACACGCGGCGCAGGGCCCCCTCGAGAGCTGCGGGCAGAAGGAGGCCACCGCGGGGCTGACCCACCAGCTACGCCGACCGAGCCTCCCGGAGCCCAGAGCCCCCCAAAACCCAGAGCTTCCCAGAGCCCCTCAAAGCCCTTCAGAACTCAGAGCCCAAAACCCCCCAGAGTCCCCCCCAGAGCCCAGAGCCTTCCCCAGCCCAGAGCCCCCCCAGCCCAGCACCCCCCTAAGCCCAGAGCCCCCTGAGCCCAGCGCCGCGGGTGTGGAAAATCAGAGGGGCCTGGGGCTGGTGGCTGGCAGCCCTGGATCTGTTTTAATCAAATCATCCGAACGTTCACTAATGACGCTGAACTCAGGGTTCCCACTGAACTCAGGGCTCGCTGGGCTTTGTGGTCAGGGAGCTGTCAGTACGGGGCTCCCGCGGCCGCAGTGGCTCTCTGAGGCCCGCCGAGGAACGGCTGTGGGCACGGCCTGGGCCATGGCCTTCTCTCCGGCTGAGTGGCCTGTTGGATCCCTCCACCCCCTGCTGCGAGCACTGGGCAGGCCGGCACCCCTCTCCCCAGGCGCCTCCCCTTTGGGCCCCTGCATCCCTCCCCGGTGCTCACCTGGGTACGCGGAGAGCTGGGAGTTCCTGGGGGGCTGGCTGTACTCGTTCTCCAGGTGCGCGGCTGTGGGGTTCTCAACCTGCGACCGGCGGACAGTCGTCCCGTGATCTCGATGGAAAGACACTGAGCAGATGATGCAGAGACAGCGCCATTACTCCTCCCCCTCCCCACCTCCCCCCCTCCCCCTCCTCCCCCTCCTCCTCCTCCCCTTCCTCCTTCTCCCCTTCCTCCTCCCCTTCCTCCTCCTCCTCCTCCTCCCCTTCCTCCTCCCTTCCTCCTCTCCTCCTCCTCCCCTTCCTCCTCCTCCTCCTCTTCCTCCTCCACCTCCTCCTCCTCCTCCTCCCCTTCCTCCTCCTCCCCTTCCTCCCCTCCTCCTCCCCCCCTTCCTCCTCCTCCCCTTCCTCCTCCCTCCCTCCTCCTCCTCCTCCTCCCCTTCCTCTTCCTCCCTCCTCCCCTCCTCCTCCTCCCCTTCCTCCTCCTCCCCTTCCTCCTCCCCTTCCTCCTCCTCCTCCTCCTCCCCTTCCTCCTCCTCCCCTTCCTCCCTCCTCCTCCTCCCTTCCTCCTCCTCCCCTTCCTCCTCCCCTTCCTCCTCCTCCTCCTCCTCCTCCTCCTCCTCCTCCTCCTCCTCCTCCCAACAGGCCCAGAGCTTTAATTTCCTGCTCCCTTGGGGGGGGGGGGCTGCAAGGGCACCCACAGCTCCTCTAGCACCCCCTCTCCTCCTTTCTTCTTGGACGGGCTCATACTAGCCACGCTCAGACTTAGAGCAGCTTTGGGTTGGCCAGCAAGCTGATGGGCGGGTTGGGCCTTCCGTGGTCTGTTAGTCAGTCACCAGACACGGGTTAAACAGGGAATTGGATGTACCCCTCCCCCCGCCCCCCAGAGCTGAGGGCCTTTGTTGATAAAAAAGACTTGGCAATACAGAGCCTTCCTGAAGGATCTGGCTCTGGACAAAGGGGGGAGCCTGTGGCAGGGAGGGAGGAGGGGGGCTGTGGTGCCCCCATGAGGGGGCCTGGCTGTGGCTACAGGGAGAGAAGACGCAGGCCAGGCCGGTGGGAGGCGGGCTGCCTCATCCGACGTTGACCACTGGCCTTTGGAAGGCCCGTGAGACACCGCATGGTAACACGAGCCTGAACAGCCCGCTTCCTGTGCCCCGCTTTGAGATGGACAAAGCAAAATGCCGGAAAGGTTCTGCTAGTCCTGGAGTAAAGAACTGTGTCTGGCCCGGCCCGCGTGGCTCAGTGGCTGAGCGGCAACCTATGAACCTGGAGGTCAGGGTTCGATTCCCAGTCAGAGCACGTGCCCGGGTTTCAGGCTTCATCCCCCGTGTGGGGTGTGCAGGAGGCAGCCGGTCCATGATTCTCTCTCATCACTGATGTTTCTCTCTCTCTCTCCCCCTCTCCCTTCCTCTCTGAAATCAATAAAAAACTATATATATTTTTAAAAAGAACCAGTGTTATATATAAAAACAAAGGAACTGTGTCTGGGTTTGCCCAGCTCCCGGATCCCCATGTCGATGTGATCATGGAGCCCCCCTTCTGAGTACCCCCTGCCAATCCCCGTGGGCACAGTCACTCCTTAACGAGTGCCGCGGGGGTCAGAGCCCGGCTGCACCTGCCCTCAGCAGTGGGCCCCATCCCTGCCTCCAGGTTCCTGCAGAGCCCGGGGGCACCGGTCGGGCTGAGGGAGGCCCTGCCTCCCCCACACTTACTGCTCTGGTTCATCCCGGTCGGGCCAATCCACTGGCGCTGCTTCTTCTGTCGGACTGGGCGGCAGACGGAAAGGCATGTCAGGTGGGGGCAGGGATGTGGGGGGAGGAGGCGGGTGCAGCTGAAGGGGGCACTGCTGGACGCAACCCCCTGGGGATCTTTGGGGGCCTCGGATTTCTGACTCGCTGGGGAGGAAACCACTCATCTCACGCTAGAGGCGCTGGTTGCCCAGACAACCGGTTAGAGCCAGAAAGAAGACCTGGGAGGGCGGGAGGGACCTGCCAGGCCTGCCGCCTGGAGCCTGCCCTTCGCAGCCCTCTAACCTCAGTCCTGTCTTTGAGTGAGTTTCTCCTGCGTCTGCAAGACAACGGCCTGTGGTATATAGTCCAAATGGGGGGCAGTCACCCATTTGGTGGATGGGGAAACTGAGGCTCAGAGAGGAAGTGGCTGAGTCACCATTGTGCATACTGGTAGGGGTGGCCTGGGGCATGTGTCTCCTGAGGTCAGCGGTCGTGCAGACGATGCACGACCCTCTGGGCCTGTCACCGTCTAAAGAATGGCCACACCCTCCCTTGGGCCGCGAGTGGGTCTCAGCTGGGCCCCCACATGGGTGAATGAGCAACTGCAACGTTCCTGACTTCCTGTTTCTGTTACTTTGGGTAGAAAAGGGCCAGTGCAAGGGAGAAAGGGGGGCAGCGGGCAATGCAGAGGTGGGACCCTCCACGTCCCCCCACACAGGGCCTTGAGGGGGCGCCGGGGGCACCTGCACCTACATTTCTTCACCAGCTTCTTGTAGGCGAGAGGCCCGCACATGACCAGCAGCACAGCCAGCAGCACCAGGGCCAGGATGATGCTCATCACGGTGCCGGTGCTCGGGCCTGCCGGGTTGGGGTCCTGGCCTGGGGGGGCAGGGGCAGAGGAGTCAGGACGGCCCGCCCCTCGCTATCAAACCTGTCCTCTCGGAGGGCAGCTGCGGACTGGCTTCTCCCAGGGAGTCTCCGGCTCGTGCGGACGGCCGGGGTCCATCTGGCCGCCTCTCCGGTGTCTCGGGGATTCTGGCTACACATTCACCCATCGACCTTCTGTCTCCTAACAGCTGACCACCCCGCTGCCACTGGCCGCCTTTGCAATCAACTGTTTCGCTTCCTACCATTCGCCAGCTACGAGTATCGCCTTGCCATCATACGCGGCCCAGTACATGGTCATCTACCAACAGCCGATTCTCTCTTTAACGTGTTACCCGGTTACTGTTAGTGCAGCAAATGTGTTCCCCTCTGTCCCTTGCTTGACTGTCTTCCCTCCTGGGAGAGTAGAAGATAGGATGGAGCTGGCATTCATCGGCTGCCTAACAACACAGGCTGGTCCTTCTTCATGGCTCATTGCGTCTGAGCACGCCTGCCCCCTCTGCCCCCATTTGCCATCTCCTTTTTGGGGGGCCTGTTCTTCGGAAATGTGCTCCTGACTGGGCCCTAGAGGGGACCCCAGGCCTGCCCTCCGCCCGCCGGGCTGTGGCCAACTCACAGGTGAGGAACACCCGCTTGCAGTGGGCTCGCCGCTCCTGCAGCTGGTGGCACTGGGACAGCTTCTCCCCGAAGCAGACCAGCCCCCGCGTGTCCTTCTCGCCGGCCTCCAGCACCTGGTAGGAGCTGACCGGCCCGCACTGCTGCTCCTGGCACACCTCTGCCCACCGCGCCGCGCTCTTGGCCGAGGGGCTGTGGCACAGGGCTTCCCACTGCCGGCCCTGGCCCTGGCGCACCTCCACGGAGCCCGCGCACACGCCGCTGCCCCCCACCAGGCGGCTCTGCACCTGGGGCTGGAAATCTGGGGGAGGAAGCAACGGAGGTGAGGTGGCAGCTTTGCAGGGAACCCCTGGCCCGAGCCCGCAGGCCGGCCGCTGGGGGCTCATGCTGCCGGCAGAGTGGGGCCACCTCGCAGGGGGTGGGGCATCCTGTGGGACGACCTTCCTCTGTCCTTCCCTGCGCCTGGCGTCCTCTCTGGCAGCTGCCAGCAGCTGGCCCCTGCCCACGTGGCGCTGAGGGGAGAGCAGGGGGTGGTGGACATGTCCTCTCATTCTCCTCTGCTCCTTGGGAGGCGGCAGGGCTTTTCAGAAAGGGAAACTGAGTCTGGGCCTGGGAAGTGCCTCCTGCTCCGAGTCCTGGCCGATCGCAGGTGGGACAGAAGCCAGGAATGCGGACCTTCCTGCTGGCTGGTCAGGGTCCCCACTGCTCCGTTTGGAGAAGCTGTGATCCAACCAGCTTTGGCCAGTTTCCATGGCAACACCTGCCTTCAACGCCCTAGTACATCTCCCACTTACAACAACTGTCAAAGGCCAGGCCCCTGGGGTGGTTGGCAGGTTGCCGCCTGCAGGGGGCTGCGGGAGGGGGGTGGGGGTGGGGTGGATGCTGAGACCCTCGGGGGCTGCTTGCGCCTGGAGGGGCAGCTTTGGCTCATTCTCACCAGGCGCCCAATGGGCGGGGGCGCCGTGTGCAGGGGAGCCCCGGGCCCAGGGCCATGCTTTCCAGCTTCGTGCCCTCGAACCCCGGGCCCTGCTGATGCAGACCCGAGGCTGCAGGGCGGGCGGGCCTGGGAGTCTGCCTTTCTAAGCAGCCCTCCCCATGACGCCACACTCTGAGGAGCCGAGGCTTAGCCCGCAGGCTCTGGAGCGACCCTGCTCAGTGGCAGTCGCAGCCAGGCGCTGACATTGGGCAGGAACTGGAGCCTCTCTGAGCCCCAGCCTCCTCGTTCGTAAAGTGGGGAGAACAGTAGCACCACCTCCCAAAGCTGTGGTGAGAAGAAAGCGCCTGGCCCCGCCCCGGACCCGCCCCTCCCATCCCTGACCCCGCCTCCCCCTGCCCCCCATCCCTGGCCCCGCCCTTCCCATCCCTGGCCCCCCCCCCTCCCATCCCTGGCCCCGCCCCTGGCCCTTGGACTCCGCCCCACCCTCCCTCCGACAGCAGCCCCCGCCTCCCCGCAGGCCAGGACCTTTCTTCCCTGTTTTGAGCTGTGTCTCCTTCCCCTCCGTTTTCACTGACCCTGGTGTGGGGGACCCACGGACCAGCCTCATCGGCCACCGTCCCTCGACCACACCGGCTCCGCGGGAGGCCCTCCAGGGACGGCTCTGCACTCTCTGCCTGCGGTTCCCCGGGCCTCCTGCTCCCACCATCGCTGCAACCTCGTCGTGTCTGGGGCTTACAAACTCCCCTCCCGTGAGCTTGTCCTGCTCCGGTCCCGGCACGGCCATGCTTCCCGCCTAGAACCTTCTCTCCTTGGCTCCACCGCGCTCCTCTCCTCCTTCAAAACCCTCCAGGAGACCCTGCCTCCTCCTGCAGGCCCCGCGGGCCGCCTCCGTGTGCCATCGGGCGGCCAGGCTTTTTGCTTTGCTTTGCTTTGCTTTGCAGAGATTCCCACGGCCGGGCTGTGACTGCTCCTCCTGCCCCCCCCCGCCCCTCCACCGCCCTCTCCCTCCCCCCTGTTCTCCATAGTGCCCTGTGCTACCCGCGGGGTTTCGGGATGGGTGCTGCCTGACCGTCCGGGGATGCCCGTGGGTCCGGCCCCGGCGCACTCACCAGAGCAGACGAGGGCGAGGGCCCGGCTGCCCTCCCAGGGCCGGGCCCTCCGGAAGCACTGCTCCAGGGAGGCACAGCTGGCGTTCTGGGCCCTCCATCGGATGGGCAGCGGCCGGCGCGCCCCTGGGGCCGGGGTCTCCTCGGCCTCGGCCTCGGCCTCGGCCTCCGGCAGGTGTTTCAGGAAGGAGCCACACTGGAGGGCCTCGCAGATGCGGTCCCCCAGGGCCTCGGTGCTGTCCTGGTCCTCGTAGCCCACGGCGCCGCCCAGGTGGCCGCTGTAGAATTCCACCACGCCCGCACACCGCAGGCCCCCGGGCCCTGGCACCAGCTGCAGCCGGGGAGGAGCTGGGGGAAGGGAGAGGGGTGCGTCTGAGCACCCACGGCCTCCAGCAGTGGGCCCTCCTTGCTCCTGGATCCTTGGCCCCAACACAGGGACAAATGAATGACTGGCCGATGGCCCTGGGAAGTGGTGAGGTCCCGAATGTTCCACTAGAACGCTTCCTGTCCGCCAGAGATCGCACTTAACTGGGCCTCCCCCGTGTTTAATCGCTAAATCCGACACCCTTCCCCCAGGGGCCTCAGAACCTCTTACCTGCGGGCTCTGGAGTGGTTGTGGGCAGAGGCCTTGTGGGAGGAGGGGTCGTCTTCAGTGGTTCTGCAATGAGACACCTGGTGAGGGAGGGGCAAAGGGGGGGGGGAGAAGGTCTGGGAGGCGGGAAGAGGGGGTGTGGAGGCGCTGAGGGCAGCAGGCAGTGGTGAGAAGGACCTGGAACGCATGATGCAAATACCACCTGCCCCACACGTTGTCTCTCAGTCTCCCCTGAGTGGGCGGTACCAGCCCATTTTACAGTTGGGAAAATGGAGGTTAGGAGGAGACAATGAAGTTAGCAAGTCCTCAACCTTTTCCATCCTATTGGACAGGAGCCAGAATCCCTCGCCTTCCCCTTCCAGGTCCCCACCGGACCCCCTTCCACCGGCCTTTTGGGGGCCACAGATCACAGGCCCTGGGCGGCCTCTGCAGGGCGGTGCCCAGGCCAAGGGAACCCACCTAAGCAGATCAGGCTCAGGGGCTCCGCCTGGCGGGCGTCGCTGGCGTTGCAGTGGGAGAGGGAGCCCGGCATTCCGTGGCAGGTGACGTGGTTCCGGGGGCTGCTGAAGGAAGGGACCGGGCCGAGGAGCAAGGCTTCCCTGCACTTCATTTTCTGGCAGAGCGGGGAGGCAACGCTGGGGTGCCACTGGAGGCCCGGGCTCCGGCCCCAGCTCCGGCTGTCCACTGTGTGCCACCGGCCATCGAAGAGGACCTCTATCTGGCCCTGGCACTGCGAGCTGGAGCCCCGGAGGTTCACCGGGAACTCTAGGGGTCAAAGAGATGGGGGCGGGTCAGTCTGGGAAGGGCCCCTCACTGCCCCACTGTCCCGCTCTCCGCCCAGGCTCCCCCACCCAGCCAGGCTCCTGCCCCACGGGCTGCCTGCCGGGCTCCTGCCCCACGTCCTTTGGGGCACTGCAGGGACCCCCCAAACTCAGGCTGAAGCTGGCCCAGGAGGGTGGGGTGCAGACCTCTGAGCCAAGGGTGACTTGGACCAGTGGGCAGGGTGCTGGGCGGCCAGGCCCGCGGAATCGCCCGCTCTGGGAACGCCTGTCTCCACGGACCCGAGAGAGGCCGGGCGCCCTCTTCTCTTTCTCTCTCTCGAGCTTTTAAATCAATTTTATTGAGGTGCGACTTACATACCGTGAAACGCACTCATTGGAAAGGGCACTTGCTCTGTGGCGTTAGGCAAATGCGTACGTGCCCGTCACCACCCGCCCTAGAATAGAGCATTTCCATGGCCAGATCAGCCCCGGGCAACCACCGACCCGCTTTCTGTCACTAACGATCAGCCTGGCCGGTTCTAAAATGTCGGAAGTGGGGTCATTGGCGTGTGTGTCCTCTGGCCTTTCCCGCCTGGCTGCCTCACGCGGGTGTCTAAGGTACTGCTGCGTGTAGCTGGCTCGTCCTTGGCGTTGGGCGCCGTGTGGCGAGGCCACAGCTTGCGTATCCCTTTGCCATTTGGGTGGCTTCCAGGTTTGGGCTATTGTGAGCATCCTGTACCCATCTTGTCTCTTTGTGGGCACAGGTCCCCCTTCTCCCGGGGAACAGCTGGGCGCGGAGCTGCCGGGTCATAGGCAGGGACACGCTTGTGTGGTTTCTGGACACGGTGAGGACACACGCTTGCATTTGCGTAATGAGACTCAGGAAAGCGTGGCAAGGAAGGCATGCGCGTGGGGCCTGCTCGGGTGTGAGGGTGGGAAGAGCGGGCGTTCGGGGTCAGAGAGGGAGAGGAGGGTCTTCCCTGTCGCTCTCTCCTAGGTGTGAGGGTGTGAGGTCGTGAAAAGGTCGTCCGTGTGAGTCTGACCACCGGGAGCTCTCCCTGGCCAGGAATTGCTGGCCGGGCTGCCTTTCTCTGCCCACAAATGAGGGCCCCCGGGCCCCAGAGCACGGGGCTGGGGCTGGCCCAGGCCGCGTGGCTCATTAGAGGCGAAGGGGGCTCGTCCCACGGCTGATGTCGGCACGGCACAGCGCGCTGGCCTCCCGAGGCCGGGCCAGGGAGGGGATTTCCCCCCCGTTTTGCAGGTGGGGAAACGGGCTCAGAGAGGCCAAACAACTTGCTGGAGCTTGGAGCTGGGAGGCCATGGCGTGCTTCCAGGGCCCAGTCCAGGGCCCGCCCAGGCTCCTGTGGCCCCCCGTTCCCACGGTGGCTCCCTCCGGCCACATTCCTCCTAAAGTGCATCCAACATGATGCTACCTCAGGAAATGCGCCAGAGAGAGGCCTGAGGGACACGAGCCTGGCAACTGGTGAGTTAAAAAAAAGTTCAAGTGGGCTCTTTGCTGCAGGCCTTCTCAGAGCCTTTGCTAGGCCCGGGGCACGGTCCGTCTCCAGCAGGCCGAGGGCGGTTGCCTCCCCTGTGTGGGAATCACCAGCCTCCAGGACTAGAGGCAGGACCGTCGGCGCACTGTACAGTCTGGGGTAGCCCGGCCCTGCAGCCTCAGTTGCAAATGTCTTAGACCAGGAAGCAGCTGGCAGGACGGGGCGGGAAACGGGACTTCGCAAGGTGCCTTATGGGTATGTTTTCTGTGCACGTGAGTGAGTCATGATAATAATTATCCTGAGAACGAGCATGTGTGGTGCGTTATAGCCATGGGGCATCCGTGTGCAGGTGGGCATGTTACGTGTGTGTGTGTGTGCGTGCGTGTGTAGGGGACTCTCTCTCTCTCTCTCATTCTCTGGGGGGGGGGGGGGCGTTCACCCTGGCGGAGGCGCTGATTTCTTAATTGGCAGGACCCCCGACAGTCAGATAGACGCACAGCCCTGCTCCCCTCCCCCGCCGCCCAGGCCCGGCGGCTCTTCCTTACCTGGTTCCGGCCAGGGGGACGCTCCGAGGCAGGCGGTGACTGCAGGGAGGAGAGAGGAGTCAGGAAGGGAAGCTGCCTCCGCTCCCGTGGCCGCCGTCTGAGCAGTGGCCGAGGCGCAAGGCTTTGCCTGCGGCCTGGGGGGCCCCTCAGTGGCCATGAAACCCATTCAGTGGTTGCAACCATCACTTCCTTTCTTGTCCTAAAACTTTGCTTTGTAAATGGACGTGCAGTGAAATTGATTTTTCTTCAGCGCACAAGCCCGTGAATGTCAACCCCCTGTAGGTCAGTGTGGTCAGCAGCACGGCCGAGGCCTACGGCAGTCTCATCGCCCCCCCCGCCCCCCCGCCCCCACTCTCTCTGTGCAGCGATGAGCATGTCGCAAGCATCGATTTCTTTAAAAATCAGATGGACTGGAAGAGGGGCCGCCAGAATGCACTGCACGCCTTGAGGGCGAGGACCGTGCTTGTGCCTTAGGTTGCAAAGCAAAAATGACCTGTATGTTGCTTCCAATCAAAACAGCTTAACCTCCACAATCCTAGGGAACCGGGAATGAGCCCGCAAGTGAGTCTGAGACGGGGTTGCTCTGCCTAGTGTCCCCCCGCAGGACACGGGCAGCACTGTCTCTCTCGGGCTCCTGGCTCCAGCGGGGACAGCGAGGCTCAGACTCGGAGGGAAAGGGACCTGCCCGAGGTGCGCAGCCCGTTGGCGAGGGAGCCGGGCCCACAGCCCCTGCACCAGGCCGGCCGGGAACGGCCTTCCCGCGGCACGGCTCCTGCCTGGCGGGCGAGAGTTCACCATGGAAACCCTGGCAGCCCCGGGCTGTGGGGCCGGCATCGCTGTACCCAGAGAGGACACTGGCCGCCTGGTGTCGTGTGGACTGAAGTCAGAGGGTCTATTTCCCCACACACAGGGATTCCCTCGCCCCGGCTGGTGTGGCCCAGTGGCTAGAGCGTCAGCCGGTGGACCAAAGGGTCCCAGGTTCGATTCTGGTCAAGGTGGTGGGCTCGATCCCCAGTGTGGGGCATGCAGGAGGCAGCCGATCAGTGATTCTCTCTCATCGTTGATGTTTTTATCTCTCTCTCCCTTCCTCTCTCAAATCAATAAAAATATATTTTTGAAAACAACAACAAAAAACAATGATCCCCCTCCTTGTCCAGGAACCTCTCGATTTCCAGCGAACCCCATCTGTCTGGCGGCCTGTGGGGTGTCCTGGGTCTGCTGTCTCTCGCCCTCTGAGGAGCGGCCGCCTGGAAGGTCAGGACCCCCTCTTTCTGGGTGGACCCCAGGCAGGGAGCCGCGTCCAACCCGCATCTGTGCCAGCGCTTGGGGGACCACAGGTCACGGGGCCCCGATCCTGTGTCTCCGGCCGAGTCAGATGAAGGATCAGTTTAGGATTAGGAGCTTTTTTATGTGCAAAACACGCAGAGAGTCTCACGGGGTTCCCACCAGGGGAGCGTGAGGACCGGGGCCCGCGGAGGGAGAGCAGCTTCGGGCCTCCACCTCGTTCACCGGGGCCTGTGCCAGCGGCCGGAGAGCGAGCCGACGGGGGCAGAGTGGCCTTCGCCATCTGGCTCACTGCTCTCTCCCGGTGGCCTGGTGGCTCACGGACTTCGCATGCGTCTCGTGCCCCACATATGTCCCCACTGCCCCCCTTTCTGTTCAGAGCTTCACGTGTCCTGAGGCTCGGTCACACAGGGGCTCATTCTTCCCACCCACAATCCTGTGCAGAAGCGACCAGGCTCACCCCCATTTTAAGATCAGGAAACCGAGGCTCAGAGAGGCTGAGTGGCTCGCCTGCGGTCACACAGCTCATGGCGGAGTCGAGGCAGAAAAGCCATCACCATCACTTGACAGGGCCCCCTGGGCATCTACCACACGGAGACCCCAGAGCCTGCTCGCCCTGGGGTACAGGCAGGGGAAACTGAGGCCGAGAAGAGGGAGGACTCCCACCACATCTCGCCTAGCTGTGCCCCCAGAGCGAAGGGGGTGCTGGTGCCTGGGGGAGGCCTGGGAGGCCAGCCCGAGTGGGCACATATGACGATGGTTACAGAGGAAGTGGCCACCACCGCAGCTGCCATTCAAAATGCAGACCCCAACCTCCTAATGCATTCGGCTGTGGGGCCTGAGGCCTCACTCAGTCCCTCTGAGTGTGAGTTCCCGCCAGGAGCTGTTGCCGCAGACCTGGCTGGCGGGGTCGCCCTGCGTTTACCTTCTATCGCCTGCAAAACCCCGACTCCCCAAGCGGCCGGCGGGGTTCAGCCAGGGGCTGTGTCCCCGAGAGAAGGGTGCTCAGCACCCTCTCCTGCCGCCCAGCTCAAGGGGGAAAATGTCCCCGTCCTCCCAGAGGCCCCTCGGGCTGGTGCTCACGGCCCCACTGCCAGGGTCCCCCAGGCTGGCCCGCGCCCCCCCAGGCTCGCCCTCCCTGCCCGTTTCCTCAAACATCTTCTCATGAGGCCCCGGCACCCTCCCAGGCACAGCACGGCCCCAGCGCTCCCAGCCCCACGACCCATGTTGCTCAGGACTCCGGGCTTCACCCCCCCACCCCCAGTCACTGGCCACTTCGCCTCGTGTCTGTCCCCCATCACACCCGACTGCAATGTCGGATCCACCAGGCGGGGTCCTTGTCCCCGGCACTGAGAGCGGGGCCTGGCACGTAGTGGGTGCTCAATCCACACGGTCCGAGTGCCTGACGGGCGCTGAGTGTGACGACGGGAGAGCCTCCCGAGGCAGCCATGGGCGCCCCCTGTCAGCCGAGCAGCCGAGACAGGTGCTCCTGCCCGTTGGGAGTGGCCACGCCGAAGTCAGACCCAGATCTGGGCCGCTCCAACCCCACAGGCCTTCAGCAATGTGCACACCACACACCGGCACACACAACACACAGCACAGGTACACGCAGCACGTGCACATGCACCCACATGTACACACACACACACACACACACACACACACACAGTAGGTGGTCAATCAGTGTTGCCAGGCGGAGTTGAAGTCCCTCCCTGGTCCCTATGGAGAAAACACCCCTGAACACCCCCTGGTCCCTCCGCCCCTCGCTGGGGCCCGATCCCTTGTGCCCAGTGCCCAGTGCCAGCAGGGCCACCGCTCTGCAGCCGGACAGTATGCGCGGCGGCCTGCTTGCAGCTGGAGCCCCGCGTCCTCCTCGCCTGGGATGCCCCACCCTGTGGACTGGGGCTGCCCCGTGTGAACTCGGCCACTTTTCCCTGCTGTTTCCTTGCCTGCACTTGTCATGATATTAGTGTGTATTTCGGGGCTCGTTTACTTGTGTCTTTAACGGTCTCCTCTGTCAGCCCGGGCATGGCACCAGGCCCGCGAGGGGAGGCATCCGTCCTGTTCTGCTTCGCACAGAGCTGGGCCCACAGTAAGTGCTCAGTAAACACGTGCAGGTGAGAACGTGCATGAGTAGCCTGTGCAGGAGGGTGGGCTGGGAGGAGGACGGCCAGGTCAGCATGGGGCCGGGCCCCTTCCCACCGAGTCCCACCTCACCTGTTTCTCGCTGACTCTGATAGTGGGGACAATAATGGTAATTATTATTATTATTGTTCAGACTTCTTGAGCACTTCCTCTCCTTCATGCCACATTCTTCCTAACACGCTACGCGCATCGGTTCATTTAGTCCAGGGGTCCTCAAACTACGGCCCGCGGGCCACATGCAAATACAAATATTGTATTTGTTCCCGTTTTGTTTTTTTACTTCAAAATAAGGTATGTGCAGTGTGCATAGGAATTTGTTCATAGTTTTTTTTTAAACTATAGTCCGGCCCTCCAACGGTCTGAGGGACAGTGAACTGGCCCCCTGTTTAAAAAGTTTGAGGACCCCTGATTTAGTCCTTGCAAACCCGCACGAGGCCGGGGCTGCTCCATTCCCATCTGCAGGGAGAACTGACGCTGACGGACAGGCCGAGGCCACCCAACTGGCAAGCGGCGGACCGGAGTTCGCACTGCAGCGTGCAGGCCCTTCCGCCGGTGCTGGCTTCTGGAAGCCTGGGGGCAGCGCTCAGGGCCGCCCCCCACCCATCCCAGCGGGTGAGCCCCCGGCAGGGTAGGGCTAAGGGCAGCGGCAGAGGGGAGCAGCCGTGGGAAGCCATGTCGCTGTCGCCCCAACCAGGCCACGGGCATCTGCCCCAAAGGTCCTAAGTCCCAGGCACGGCCCAGGGCTGTGGCGGCAGCTCCTCCCGGCGTGGCTCCAGGTGCCTGTGCTGGCTGCTGCGGCTCCAGCCCTGGACCTGAGCCCCAGACCCTGGTGGCTGCAAACCCACTGGTTTACGGTTGTGTCCGCAGCCATTTTCCTCCTCGCGGGAGCGGCTCTGTGGCCCTCCCTCAGAGCAGCAGTGATGGGCCGGTCGGCTTGTCGGCTCTGCCGCGCACTAGCTGCTTCGCCCTGACTTTTCTGGACCTCAGTCTTCTCCTCTGTGAAATGGGCTGGCCTACTTCAGAGGCTATGGAAAGCTTACAGAGGAAAATGGCTTTAAAGGTATTTTCTAAGCTGTGACCCACTGAGCAACAGGAATGTTTATTATCCGCCAGCACACACACACACGCACACACACACACATGCACACACACACGCGTGCACACACACCCTGGGAACCACATGCTGTGGGGTCCCAGATGGTCCCCGTCGTACTCGGGGTGAAGGCGTTGCCTCCAGTCCTAACTGTGGGCTCCTTCGGGCCGTGCCCCTGCTCCTTCCGGCCAGGACCTCCCCCCTCAATGGGATCAGGTGGGAGGGAGGCCCATGAAGCAGGACCCCCCACCCATGCCCCCTGCTCGGCAGGGTCAGAGGCCACAGGTGAAGGGCAGGTGGGGTTTAAGGGCCCGGTCTTAGGGCTCCCCGGGGCCCAGGAGGCCGCAGCAGCTCCCCAGAGGGTCCCGGGAGGCAGAGGGCCACCTCCAGACCTCCGCCGGGGACAGAGGCAGCTGTGTCTTTGCGGTTCCGTGCAGAGCCGCCACGGGAATGTGCGTGCACACGTGCCTTGTCACGCTCGGGGGACAGTAAGACGACGTTTGGAGGCACGTCTGGCCCATGAAAACACACACACATTCACGCACCTGCTCACAGCTTCTCTCAGCAGCACCACCTCCTGAGACTTCCCTCCCGTGGAAGCTGCAGGCTCCCTCCAGCTCCCACCTCCTCTCCCCGCCGCTCCTTCCAAACCCGTGAGAAGCGCTCAGACCCCGGCCAGCTCACCCCCGGCATGAACAGATGGAGATGGCGGCCGGGAGAGCCTCAGGGACCCATCCTGGGGGCACGTGCTCAGACTTAGAAGCCAGTGCCGGCCCAGATCAGGGCGGTGGTCGGAGCCAAGGAGCCCCAGCTTCCAGCCCCCTCCCCCCCTGCAAACAGGAGGTCCGGCTGTCCCCACAGTGGCCTTGGGGCGAGGGGCAGGGCTGGGTTCGGAAGCCCTTCTCTCCGCCGGGAGGAGACCCAGGCTGAGCTCCCGGCCTGGCGGCCTGGTCGGTGGGCCTGGCTGGGCCCCCGGGACTGACCCAGAGCCACCGGGGACTGAGGGTGCCTCTTGGGCACCTGCTCAGCTGCGCTCTCAGAGGCGGTCCCTGCCCTGCCTCAGCCACTCCGCCAGCATCGCCAGGACAGCCCGGAGAGGCGAGGTCCCCGAGGCGTCTGAGCCAGGGCCTGTGCACGGGCAGGGAGGCTGCGAGGGAACCCCACATTGGGGGGGGGGTGCTGCGGCTTGGTTTCCATGCTGAGAGGCGATTTAACATGGGTCTCGCCTGGAGGGTCCCATGAGGGCAGGAGAGAGCAGAGTGGGGGTCTGGGGGTGCCGCAGCAGGGGCTGGGGGCTCAGACAGGGGTCGTGATTCTCCCGAGAGGTGCGTGCGGTCCTTCGAGTCAGACCCAGGGGCGCACTGCCTCTCCCCCCGGCACCCCGAGCCCAGGGACCCTGGCGGACGCCCCCGGGGCACTCACCCAGCACCCCCAGCAGGCAGAGGGCGGCTAGCGGCATTGGCGGCGACTCCATGGGCACGGCCTCCTCCTGCCTCTGCCGCGAGCTCGGCGGTGGGTGAGGCCGTCTGCCGTGTCTGCCTCTCGGGGAGGAGGGCGGGGCGGCGTGGGCAGGGTGGGACCGGCACAGCAGCGGCCCCGCCGCCCGTGTTTGAAGTTGAACTGTCAACTTCCTCCCGGTGAAACCACCTGGCCCAATTCGCATGGCGGCCTGGCTCCTGCCAGCTTCCTGCCCGAGGTGCCAGGGCTGGGCGCCTGGGGTGTCGGGCACTTGAACCAGGTCCTCAGGGGTGTGGGACTGAGGCCTGGGCTCAGGGAATAGGTGCGATGGGGGCCACACGCACCGCCTCACAGGGTTTGGAGGTGGCACTGCCGCGTCCCGGGACTCTGGCAACCCCAGCACTTTCGCTCATCTGTTCGCTCACTCATTCAGCGCATCTGTGTCCAGGCGCAGGGCCGTGAGCTTTCCTGCCCACGGGCCGCCAGCGGCCCCTAAGCACTCACAGCCCCCCTAAGCACTCACAGCCCCCCCTAAGCACTCACAGCCCCCCTAAGCACTCACAGCCCCCCTAAGCACTCACTGCCCCCCCTAAGCACTCACTGCCCCCCCTAAGCACTCACAGCCCCCCTAAGCACTCACAGCCCCCCTAAGCACCCACAGCCCCCCTAAGCACTCACTGCCCCCCCTAAGCACTCACAGCCCCCCTAAGCACTCACAGCCCCCCTAAGCACCCACAGCCCCCCCTAAGCACTCACTGCCCCCCTAAGCACTCACAGCCCCCCTAAGCACTCACAGCCCCCCTAAGCACTCACAGCCCCCCTAAGCACCCACAGCCCCCCCTAAGCACTCACAGCCCCCCTAAGCACTCACAGCCCCCCTAAGCACCCACAGCCCCCCCTAAGCACTCACAGCCCCCCTAAGCACTCACAGCCCCCCTAAGCACCCACAGCCCCCGCTGCACCGGGAGCAGCCTCCGCGGATGCCGTGCGGCTCCATCGCTGCAGCCTGAGAGGGAGAAGAGCTGCCACTGAGCCCCCGGGGGAGCTGGGGGGCCTCCTCCGTCCTCCCAGCCTCCCTGAGAAGGGGGCGGGGTTTTCCGTGTCCCAAACGAGGAAACTGAGGCTCAGCAGGGACCCCCCTGGCCTGTAGAGTCTGAACCCACGCCCCTCCGTTCACAGCCCTGGGCACGGCCGCCGCCTCCTCCGCGAACCAAACGCAAAGAGGCTCTGCCTCCGGTCTGAGCCGAGTCTTCCTCGCCCGCGAGGCTACAGTTTCTCGTCTTTTACTTGTTTGTCCCTGGAAAACTGAAGGCAGCTCAGGGCTGGGCTGCTGTGTCCCAGGCCTCGGGCCTCGGCCTGGGGCCGCGGGCTGGTCCCTGCCCGTCCCCATGGAAGGGGCGCTGGCTCTCCCAGGCCTCCCCCTCCAGCCGCCCCCAGACCCCCTCCTCTGCCTCCTCGAGCCCCTCCCTGCAGCCCACGCCCCATCAGTGACCCCACTCTCCCCCCTCCCGGCCTCAGCCCCCTGCCCCCACTCAGACCCCAGACCCCTGGCGGGAGTTTCCTGCCCTTGTCACCCTCACTTTCCATGACACAAGAGGAAGTCAGCTGAGCTGGGCTGGGTTTTCCATGCGCCTGGCCGGGTGGCGGCCACAGGTGGGGGGGCGGGGGGGGCAGCGGCTGGCAGCCCCCAGGCCGGCGCCAGTACCTCCTGGGCCTCCCTCCGCTGGAGAGCGGCTGCCTGCTGCCCCGGCCACACCAGGTAACCGCGGGGCGTGTGTGCCCCTGTCAGTGGGACAGCCCGCGGCGGCCTGGGCTCCTGGACGCCCCAGCACCCCCAGGGTTTGTCCTCTTCGCCAGGGCTCAGGGGCCACAGGGTTAAGTGGGGAAGGGGGGAGCTGATGGAGGGAGGAAGGGAGGGAGGGTGGTGGAGGAGAGGAGACCCTGGCATGTGACTGGTGCACAGTAGGACCTCAGTGGTTGTTGAATGAATGATGAATGAGTGAACGATGAGTGAATGAATGGATACGAGGGGTGGTCCCGGAGACCGGGGGGTGCCTGGTGGCCCGAGGAGGTGCCTCTGCTCCGAGATGGGCAGGAAGTATTTGCTGAATGACTCGGGGACCTGAAGCCTTGAACGCCCGTACTCGGCAGCCAGGATGGGGGGCCACTTCGGGGGCAGGTCTTGCAGCACCCCTCCCTCCACCCCCGCTTAGGAAGTGCGCCCCTCCCCCAGCTGTGCTCCTGCCCTATCAGATCACTGGCGGGGGCTGGGCAGGGGAAGGAGGGGCATAGGCCTGGGTCTGGACCTGGATGGGCAGCGGAGGGGCGAGCAGGTGGCGGAGGGGCGCTGGCCAGGTGGCACCTGCGTTTGAGTCCCACTCTGCCCACATTGCCGGGTGGCTCTCAGGGCCTCAGCTGGCTCATCTGCAGCAGAGGGGCTGGGCGGTCCCGAAGCCAGCTCTGTGGCATGGGAGGGGGAGGGGGGCTGACATGGGAGGGGGTGGGGGGTTCACATGGGAGGGGGTGGGGGGCTCACATGGGAGGGGGTGGGGGGTTCACATGGGAGGGGGTGGGGGGCTCACATGGGAGGGGGTTGGGGGCTCACATGGGAGGGGGAGGGGGGCTCACATGGGAGGGGGTGGGGGGTTCACATGGGAGGGGGTGGGGGGCTCACATGGGAGGGGGTGGGGGGTTCACATGGGAGGGGGTGGGGGGCTCACATGGGAGGGGGTGGAGGGTTCACATGGGAGGGGGTGGGGGCTCACATGGGAGGGGGTGGGGGCTCGCATGGGAGGGGGTGGGGGGCTCACATGGAAGGGGGTGGGGGGCTCACATGGGAGGGGGTGGGGGCTCGCATGGGAGGGGGTGGGGGGCTCACATGGAAGGGGGTGGGGGGCTCACATGGGAGGGGGTGGGGGGCTCACATGGAAGGGGGTGGGGGGCTCACATGGGAGGGGGTGGGGGGCTCACATGGAAGGGGGTGGGGGGCTCACATGGGAGGGGGTGGGGGGCTCACATGGGAGGGGATGTGGGCTTCTCTGTTCTGGAACCTGGAGGGTCTCTCAAATGAGATGGTGTCAAGTGCCAGAGCTCTGGATTCGAGCCCAGGCAGGCAGAGCGTTGGAGGGGGCACTGGGCAGGGCCCTGGCTCCACCGTGGCACAGGGTCCCCGAGTTCCAGGCGGGTGGGGCCTCCTCCCCACACCGTCCTGGCCCCTCCCAGAGCCGGGCCTCACGTCCTGCTCTGCAATCCCGAGTAAATGACTCACGCGAGACACCTGAGCTCCTAGCCTCTACGCCATGAGGGTTAGAAGGGGAAGCGGACAGGGTAACAGGTGCAAAGAGTGTAGCACAACCCTGGCTGATAGTAAGGGCTCCAGGCACCATGGTTATCACCGTAACCATAACCGTAACCATACCTGTGTAATGACGGCCATTTCCGGGGGGAGGTCGGGGGAAGGGCCCGGAAGCAGCTCTCCATGCTGACGAGCTGGGTGACCTTGGGCAAGTCATTTCCCCTCTTGAGCCTGATTCTCTTCCTATGAGATGGGTGGGGAGAGATCCCTGCAGGGCAGGACTTCTGGAAGCTTCCATTCAAGCGTCATGCAGGGCTTGTGAATCTTAGTACCCCCTGGAGTGTGAGGGCTGGTCAGCTCAGGCCTCACCCGCCCCCCCACAGGCCTCCTCCCTGGGGGCTGTGCCCGGAGGCCCAGCAGCTGCCCCTGAACGAACCCACCTGCCCTTCACCCCTCCCGCAGGCCTGCTGCAGGCCTCCCGGTGCCCGGAAGCTGGTGTTCGGGAAACAGCCCATGGCCATGGCCCCACGTGGGTGTGAATCATGGTTTCTCTTCTGTTGCTTCTGTGAGTGAGATTGGACTCGTTCGGCCATGGAGCCTACGTTCTGATCGAGAAAAGGCCGCCCACAAGGCAGAGCAGGACCGGTGCTAACCGAGCCCATTTTTCAGATGCAGTAACTGAGGCCAGAGCGGTTAGGTGAATTCCCCAGCGCGCGGCTCCCCGACAGTGCCGTTAGGACCGGGCCCCGGGCCTCCTGGTCTCCGGGCCCCCCTTTCTCAGCACGGCTCTCTCCTCGTGGGCGGCTGCCCCGGCCTCCGGGGGCCCGGGAGGCGCGCAGACCCCGCTGTGTCCTGGGCCCCAGCCCGCGCTCTGGGAGCCTCAGCTGCCGTCTGTAAAAGGGGCAGAGGGCCTGTCTGCAGGGTCAGCGTTTCTAAAACCCCGGGGCTGTTGGAATCTCCCTGCTCTAGTTTCTTTCTTTCGTTACCCAACCCAAGCCTCTGCTCACCAGCACCAGCACCTGCTACAAAGCTCTTTCTAGAACAAATGAATGAATGAACGGCAGGCACGTGAGCAGACAGACACTGTCTCCCCCTGCTCTCCAGTGCTGGGCTTCCAGGCAGCTGGGACCACAGCGGGGACGCTGCACGAGGGGTTGGGCCTGAGGGAGCCCAGGAGGAGGTGCGTCTAATCCATCTTCTGGGAGAGTCAGGAAGGCTTCCTGGAGGCGGCGACATCAGACTGAGACTCGAAGGGTGAGTAGGAGTTTGCCAGTTTGGCAGTGGGATGGGTTTTCCGGGCCGAGGGCGCAGGCGTCCGGGTTGCATTGTTGCAATAACCGTGTTACTCGGGTGAGAAGGGCCTGGAAGTTGGGGAACCTGGGCGTCGGTCCTGACTCAGCCCCTCCCCCTCCCCGACTCGGTGCCCACGCTGGCGTGTCTCTCCCAGGCCTCAGTTTGTCTATGAAGTAAAGGGGCTACAGCTGTTGGCTCCCGAGAGGGTGGGGAGACCAGGCGAGAGGCCGATAATGGCCACCCCTCCCCTCGGCGTCGGACCCGGCCTCCAGGAGGAGGGCGGGGTGATGGTGCGCTGACGGGAGAGGCGCCTCTGCTCAGAAACACACAAGCTGTGAGGACCACGTGTGTACAACAGTCTAGTCCCATTAAATAAAAACATGAGTGAGCAGAAAAGTCAGATAAAACGTTTTCTCCGTTCACAGACCATTCTTCCAAGTGAGGGTAACCGAGGGTTGTGGGGGATGGACCTCAGCGGGGGGCGGAGTGAGCTGCTGGCTTTGTCTCTATATT